CCCCACCCGTGCCTCCTTCTCTGAGATCAATGAATTTTTTATCATGCAGTTAAACAAATCTATCTGGGGATTATTTCTCTCAATGCAGTCATAGAAGTAGGTAAATCTCATTGATTCTCACAAAATTTTGACATTCTTTTCCTCGAATGTTCTTTTAGATTATTTTTTTGTTATTGCAATTGTTGTTGCTTTTGGACGCATGCTTTTCTCTAACATTTTTATGGTTATCCTCTGGTAGGTTGGCATCAAAGAAATTCCTAACAACTTGGTTGATTATGTTATGAAGTGAGATTATCAAGATGGATATGTGGTAATCCATGCTAATAATAATTATATAGATATAGAAGATAAAATAGTACAAATTTAATTTAGGGGTGTGGACATATACAGCTAAGAATAGAAGATGCATCATCAATAAGAAGTGAAGGAAATGACTTAGGCCAAATTAACAATGGAAGTTGTGTTCCAAGATGTGTACTAAATATAGTTGATAGTTGAGATCTCATATTAGAACCAACAAGAGTTAGCATCTCGTAGTAATGCAATAACAACCATTATGCTGGATCAACGGAAATTTTGCTATCTTCTTCTTTCTTTTCTCTTTCAATACCATGTTGCCTAAGAAAAAAAAATTGCTGACTAATAAAAAATATGGATGTCTACGAATTGACAGGTATATCTACTTGGCGGATATGATGCGATTCATGAGGGAAGATGAAGCGGTAAAGACTATGAACCTTCTTAATGGGGCACAAGATGATCGAGTTAGCAAGAGGATTCTCAAGAATTGGGTGGTACAGTTTCAGGATCTTACTTTGCATTTCATACTCTTATAAATTCCATTCCTTGAACCAAAACAATTTTGCAGGTTAATGCGTTCAGAGAGCGTAGAGCCCTTTCTTTGACACTGAATGACACCAAAACAGCCGTAAACAAGCTTCATCAGATTGCAAATGTCATTGTTGTCATTATTGTATTTGCACTCTGGCTTCTTATCCTGAACATTGCTACAACTCACTTTTTTGTTTTCCTTAGCTCCCAGTTTCTTCTTTTGGTATTTGTATTTGGTAACACCTTTAAGACGACATTTGAAGCCATGATTTTCTTATTTGTTATGCATCCCTTTGATGTTGGTGATCGTTGTGAAGTCAATGGTGTTCAGGTAATTGTCCAAAAAAACTGGACTTTTTTAATTTTTTTCAATGGAAACATAATGTGAATTTTTACCATGATTAACTGTGAGCTATTCTGACATTATTTTTAGATGGTTGTGGAGGAGATGAATATATTGACAACAATCTTCCTGAGATATGACAACCAGAAAATAACGTATCCAAATTCCGTGCTTGCTACCTTACCCATTGGCAATTTCTATCGAAGTCCTGATATGGGAGATAGTGTTGATTTCTGCGTTCATGTTTCAACTCCGCTGGAAAAACTTGCAGCTATGAGAGAGAAGATAATCACGTAAGTTATTGCCGGTTATAAATATATTTTGTTTTTAGCTGTTATAAAGTACAGTTTGAATTAAAACGGAATGATCAATTGATTTCTCTCTCTTAAATCAACCAAATTGTGGCGCGCGTGCAATGGATAAGATTGTGATATCATATTGTGTTAATCTTTGCATGTATCATTCACCTTTAGAATGGTGATCATTTTGGATTTTTTGCAATCTAAGTTTGAATTTATAGGAATATTGTTTTATATATACATGCACACAAACATGCACACAAACAACAACAACAACGATAAGATTCTTCTATTCCACCAAGTAAAGCCGGCTTCATGAATCCTTTTTTCCCCATTGCGTCCTATTATTTTATATATACATGCACACATGTTTATTAATAACGGTGTTCGATTACTTGAATATGTTTTTTGTACCATCACTTGAAAACAAGTTTTAACCTCATGAATATAAAGTTGTTTTGAATATTAAGCATATATAACAAACTTGCATGTTCTCAAGTTTTTAAGATTCCGACTTTGTATTATCATCATACATGATGACTTTGTTTGCAGCGCTCAGCTCTCAATAGAATAATGGGAAATTTAGAAACATACCACACAATTCTCGTGTATTTACGTTTATAACATTTTGATGTTATAAACCTATTCATGAAAAGCTGTATCTCACTTTTAAATATTAGTAATAGTGATATTTTTAATGTGATGTGATGTTAAAGATCTAAGTTGTATCAGTGTAAATATTAAACCTTATAAGGTGTTAGAAATGCAAATATATAAGAATTGTGTGCCCTCCAATAGAAACATATTTTGGGTTGTATGAATGTAAAAAAAGCTAAGTATAGATGTTAGATATGTAAATACATAGGAATTTGGCCGTATGTATATGTGTAAATTGAAACATATATATCATTCAATTAATTAATTATGGTGTGTGACAGGTTCATGGAAAGTAAGAAGGAGCACTGGTACCCTGGAGCGCAAGTGGTGGTGAAGGACGTGGATGATATGAACAGGCTAAAAATAGCAATCTGGATGCGTCACCGGATGAACTTCCAGGACATGGGGATGAAGTCCACCAGAAGAGAGCTGGTGGTGCTGGAATTGATCAGAGTGCTCAGGGAACTCGATATTGAATATCGTATGCTCCCTATGGATGTCAATGTCCGAAACTTGCCTCCGGTTGACTCCAATCGCCTCCCTTCAACCTGGACTACTTGCGCCTAGAAGAGATAGAGAGAGAGAGAGAGGGGTAGAGATAGAGAGAGAAGTTTATTTAGGATTTAAGGGCTTCAGAGTATGTTCTGTGATAAGCCTTGGTTTTGAGTAGGTCTTACTGAGAACTGGCTTTAATTGCCTGATTATGTTGGTGTTTGTTAGTTGTATTTCTTTGCTATTTATTAGATTATGATTTAAGGTTCTAGTAGAATAACGATGTGATATTTAATTAGTAGTGGTATTTCAAAGTAGGAAATATGCTGTTCAAACACTGCATGTCTGGATGGTTAACCACCAGCGGCCACGTTGTCTTACACGACATTGGCTGACGATGTGGCCGCAAACGGTTGGCTGTGCGGAGCGGACATTCAGACGTAATATTTTTTAATTATTAAGAGCTTGTTTGGTATTGATTTTTTTTTTTATTTTAAAAACATACTTGTTTGATTATTTAGTGATGTATGTGACACCTAAATTTTCATATTTGCGTATAATGCTTGAATATTTAACATCACATTAAAAATATCATAATTAATAAAGTTTTATAAGTTAAATACTTGTTTTTATGCATGGTTCCATGACAACAAAGTGATGTTAGTGTAAATATTAAAGTTTAGGTGTGTTATGTAAATATATAAAAATTGTGTTTTATGTAGGTAAATTTTGCTACTTTTTAGCAGGAGGAAGGAATTACATCCTTCAATTGTGTTGTGTAGAGGCCATGTTAAATGGTTGCTCTAATAAATTGCAAAATTCTCTAAAAAAATGTCAGAATGTAATAATTTTAATTGAACAGAAACAATTAAAACTAAATTAACTTTTTTACGAGTATGTTTTCTATGGAGCTGAAGATGATATAAATAAAAATGACATTATTTTTGAAGAGTGAGATACATGTTTTAACATATAGATAAGATTGAATATGTGTAAAAATAAAAATTTAGATGTTAGATACTTAAATACGCAAGAATTGAGTGGTGTATATGTAAAATCTTTCAAGCCAAAAACAGTTGGTTTTCCTCTTTTCAAATTCCCTTCGTCATAAAAGCTGTCGCGGATCAATAATTAAATTTATTTTTTTTTGTAATTAAATTTACCCTAATTTGGAAGTGGCTTGTATTATGGTATTTATGATATTTTACAAATGCGGACTTTATGATGTTTTACAAGTGTGAACTTAGTTGATTTTAGTTGATAAAATTCAATCGGTTGATCAATTTGGTTGGCCATCTTCGATCCCCAAGGAAGAGTCTTTACTTTGTATTTATGGCCTTTATTGTAATTAGAGATAATTTAATTTTTTTTTTCTTTATTTACTTTTATGTCTTAATCCTCCTGTATAAAAGCGACTTAAGATTCATGAGAGTTATGGTGAGAATTGCAAATGACTCGGAATCACTCGTCTTCTTTCAGTCCAAATTGCATACATTTGGATCATCTATTTGTCTTCGGGCCGCCTTGTAACTCAGTTAATTGTGGCCTAATTGGCATCACGATATCTTGGTAGTGGATCTACCTCCTTCATACTCTTCTCTAATGGACCGTTAGATCTCTTTAAGAACAATGCCTTCATAATTCAATATCAGAGCTTTCCTTACAACGCAACAAAGGCACAAATTCAGCTGCAGCTGCATCCAATAAAGCCAATGCATACTTGTACATGCCTTTTCTTAATTACAATAAGAAAAGGCATCTCCTAAAGGTCAGACTGCTATTAAACAAGTATAAGCTGAAGAATTAAAATAGTAGATAATCATTACCAAGGGGCTGTCTGGTAACACATTTATTAACTTAACTCTTGTCACACAGAACTAATGCAAATCTTAAATCAACATGTAGTAAATCCTGGTGTTTTACAATTCCTTCACAGTTCAGCTTGGAATCCTGAAGTTAACAGCATTTACTAAATCCATTACCAGACACCCCCTAAAAGCTGTTTCAGACTGCAATTCTCAGAAGAAGATATGAATTAAAAACTCCGACAACAAAAATTTTTCTAATTGTAAGAATTTATAACCTGATAAGTGATCACTCAGGCAAACCACTGCCAAAAATCTATTTCCCTTCTTTATGCCTAAATATTCTTTCTTACAATTACTGTCATAGGAAAATTCCATTTTCAAGCTCAAGATAAAACATTTTTCAAATAAAATATCATCAATCAGCACAAAAACAAAAGTTTATGCAGCAAACAAATCATTCAAGCGATTACCCCCATCAACTTCGGTATGTTTACGTTCTTCCATTTGAAAATCGGGATAATTACGGCGGTTCAAGGAATGAAGCCATAGTGCAACAGCTCCTTCTTTGTGCTCCATGGATGCTATGTGTGAGTATATGTGCTTCAACTTGAATTCCTCAACCTCCTCTGCATAAGCTTCCATGGTAAGTGCTTCATGGGAATCCTTCCACTTCTTATTATAAGAAAAGAAGAAGCACTCGTCTAAGTACAATCCAACCTCAGGTGCAGTTGGTACATTAATGTTAACATCCCTGACAGAGACAAAAGTTACTACATATAATCATAAATAGTTAAGAAAAGGGGCATTAACATACATACCACCCAATTCTTATGTTTTTAGATACCTAAAGCTTGCTTTTTTACATTTGTACCACCCAAATCTTTTATATCACATAAAAAATACCTCTATTTTAACTTTTAAAAAGTGAGATAAAGCTTTTCATGTACAGGTAAGGTGGCATAGATGCAACAATTGAAATTTATGTCTTGGACATGTAAATACATACGAATTGAGTGGTATGCATATAAATCTTTCATAAAAAAGAGAAATTTACATAGGTAGAATACAATTTTTATGTATTTACATATCTAACACCTAAACTTTCATATTTACATTTATAACAATTTAGTGTGTTAAATGTATGCATGAAAAGATTTATTTTACTTAGAAAAAGTAGGAGATAGAGGAATTTTTGATGTGATATTAAAGATTTAAGTGCTATGCATGTAAATATGAAAGTTTGGGTGTTAGATATGCAAATACATAGGAATTGTGTGCCCCAAGAACAAAAAAGGGGCATTTACATACAAACCACACAAATCCTATGTATTTACATATCTAATACCCAAACTTTAGTTGCTACATTTATATCTCCTAAATCTTTTACATCAAATGAAAAATACCATAATTATAACTTGTAAAAAGCAAAACACAACTTTTAATGTATAGGTAAGGTGGCATATGAAATTTAGGTATTAGATATGTAAATACATAAGAATTGAGAGTTGAAATTTTTCCAAAAAAAATGTTTCTTACTGTCTCAAAGCAATGTCCATGAGTGATTCTGGTGCGCAATTCCTCATCAAAGCAACTGCGAGACCGATCATCTTTCGAATTTGATGGAGCATGAAGCTCTGACCAACAACCTCACATTTGATAAACTCAATCCCTCCAATGGTGATAGTAGAATCAGCATTGAAAGAGATGATGTAACGCCGAGCGGACGGATCCTCAGCTTTAGTTCTTGTTGTGAAATTATGAAAGTTATGAGTGCCCACATAACGGTTCAGAATAAGATTAAATCTTTTCCTCTCCAAGTCCCCATAGCTGTAACTACTGGTAGCTACCATTAGTTTTTCTTCAATGGCGTCTACTGAAACAACAGATTCTACCTTCTCCTCACCTGCTGAAGCTTTGCAGTTAGACAAATGCAGTTCTTCGGTTTCAACTGCTTTTCCTTCATCATCTACTTCTCTATCAGTCTTCGCAGATTCTGGATTTGATGGAACATCGAGCTCCTTCAATTCTCCGAAACCATTTTCTGTCACAAAGACTTCGGTTTTACTTACCAGCTTGACCTCTGCAGGCAGTTCATCTTCATCGCCATCTCCATCTCCATCAAGCTCATATCTGTCCTCCTCTTTCAAACTTCTGAACTGCCTTCCAATCGCACCAAACACCTTTCTTCCCCTTTCCGAACACTCTAAACACCGAGCGAGCTCATTCTCAGATCCCAAGCTCGCCACAACACTCTCTCGATCGGGATGAGCATTAGGGTCGAGCGCGAAAACAGGTAGAAGATAAACATACCTGCGACGATCACAGAACTTCTTCGCATTGAAGGAAGCCGTGACCCGCTTGAAACCCCAAACCCTAATCTGATCGGCAAGTAGCGAATTCAAACGATCAATAAAGCCCGGTGGATCGATATAAAATCGACCGGAAACCACCTGACCGGCGGCGCTGACACCCTTATCGGTGCGAGCGGCTCGAGCCCAATCGTATCGTTTAGGGTTTCCGCGATCGGACTCAGGTACGGCACCGGCGTGGAAGAGGGCTTCTTCGAACTCACCTTCAATGGTGCGAGCGCCGGGATTCTTCTGCATTCCTTGGTAGCCTGCGCCGCAGTAGGAGAAGAAAATTGCGATCTTGCGGCGTTTGTATCGCCGGCGATTTGGTTCGGCGGCTGTAGGTGGGATGGCAGCGGAGTCTTCATCTTCAGCAGATGAGTTGCTTGTTGTGGACATTTTGAGCTTCTTGGGTTGGGGAGGGGAGGAAGGAGGAGAAGCCATGCATGGATCAGAGAACTGTGGTTCTTGCCATGGAATTGGAAGGAGGAAATTTTTAGTGAGTCGTAGGAGCATAATAAATCGTGAATGCAATAGCAGTATCAGTTAATCAATTAATCAAGGCCGTCCGATGGGTGTTTTAAGCTATGAAAAAAATAAAATAAGGCCCCACTAAACTGTGCGATGATGTGCGATGCGTGCTATAAATTTTGTGGGACTAGAGTAATAGATGATTCAGTACTCTCATAAGAGTGAAAACATTTAGAAATGACACAATAAGTTATTAAGTTGAAAACGTTGGAAAAGATGGGATTTGACGTAATTGAAATAATCCATAATGAATGATGATTACACATATACATTCTTTATTCTGAATTAGAGAAGATGAAATTACAAAATTGTATAGTCATAATATGGTTGTAGTTTCTGCCGACAACAGACTGTAAGGACCATAGTCGATTGTTGTGTATGTAATAGTTCGTCGTGAGTGTTGTAGATTGTAGTTGTGGCACCAGCTTGTCAGAGAAGCAGTAATTGATAACCATAACATTATTTGATCGGGTGGGCCATAGATCGTTGCTCTGTGATTGTTGATTGACTATAAAAGTCGTTGGATGCAATTACGGGAGCTGTGGACCATGCAGACTATAGTTTGTCGCGTGGCCATAGCGGTGAGTAGTAATGGCACTCGTAGATCGCAAGGGTCATAGTCGGGTGCTGCATGAGCTGTAGACCACGTAGGTCGTAGTTGGTCAGGTAGGTTGTAGTGACAAGTAGTACTGATGTTTGTTGGCCACGAGAGAAGGAGTCGGGAACTGCAAGAACTAGGGACGACATAGGTCGTAATTAGTCATGTAGGCCATTGTGACGAGTAATAATAACGTTCGTAGGCTGGTCAGAGTCAGGAGTTGGGGACCACGTAGGCTCTAGTTGGTCACATAAACTTTAGTGGTTAATAATAGTAATGTTCGTAGATCGCGGAGGCCATTGTTGGGAGCTTTAGGAGCTAAGGACCATGTAGCTCGTTGTCGTTCACGTAGGTCGTAGTGGCCAGCTGTGATGATGTCGATAGGCGAGCTGGGAGCTGCATGTCAATATGCAGGGTACCTCATTACACCTTCTTTGAGATGCAATGTTGCACCGTTTTTGGGGTGGCATCACGGTGTTCGCGATGATGTTTTGCTTTGCATGTTGTTTCGTTATTCTGCGATGTCGATTGTCGCTTCACACAGTGCTTCATCATAAGAATTGGACGACGATCGATGATGATCGACGACGGCCGACGAGTGGTATCCAACGACATGAAGTGACTGGTGGTCGGTGGTCGACGAAGATGACGACTGGTGATATGCTACGAAGTGATTCTAGACGTTAGCTAATTCTCCATGCTTCAAGCTCTTTCTCAGGCTTCACGCTCCCTCCTCTATTGTGAGAGGGGTGGGGCTCTATTTATAGAGCTCTGGGTGCAATTAATGCATGAATATGAATGACTCTAATGTGACGGCTAGAAGAGATTCACTTGATCAGACAATGCTTATTATGTATTTGAGTACCTTAACGATTTTGAAATTGAGCGATCTTAGGTTCGTTGGATTTGTCTTGTTGAAATGCTTGATTTGACCATACTTTCTTTAGATTAGTATCTATTTGACCCTCCAATTATGCCCGAAAAACTTCCAAAAGTGGTTTAATGACTTGATCTAAGTCTTATTTGCCTTAGATTGAATGGATTATGGTATCACTGGGTCTGTCTTGTTTTGTCGTCAGTATGACTGTATGTTTGTTTAAATCGGAGCTCTGGATGCTCTTAATCAAATTTTAAATATTTCTTGCTCAAAAGATTGCCTTGAGATTTGTGTGTTGCCTCGAGAGTTGTGTCAGATGTTGGAAATTTGTTGAAGACATATCATCGTGGTTGAGGGTCGCAGATTCAAATCACGTATAATATTTATTGCTCAAAAGAAAGAAAATTTACACGAATTTATTAATAACTTAAAAGATTGTTACAACAATAACTCAAAAGAAAGAAAAATACTATGCAGATTAAGACATAAAACAAAACATTACAACAAAAATTCAACACATAAAGACGCAACAAACTCGATGAGGAGGTGGTTCGAAGAGATGGTGTCAAAGTGGTGGCTACGGTGAAGGCTTGAGCGATATCAGGTGGAAGTAAGTCAGTGCTCGTCGAGGCTTCGAACCACAACTGACAGAAGATGCGAACATTGTCAAAGACACGAATATGAATGCGGCGGAAAGGTGGTTGAAGCCGAGGAACGGAGGCACCAATGGAGGCAAAAGCCAAGGAGCCGAGGCAAGGATGGTGGCTAAAGTCAAGGAGCAGAGGCACTTACAGCGATCAAAATTGAGGAGCAGAGGCATAGACAACGGAGGACTACAGGAAGGGTGAGCGTAGTAGCTGGAGGCGTTGAGAGGGCCTGATGAGGACTACTACCTGTTGTGTGGAGGTGGCAGAGCTAGGGACTACAAACATGGGCACGCTGCAGCATTGAGAGGCATGGGGAGGACCTCAAGGAGTCGACGATCTTTTGGGGATGAGGCAGCAGAGGAGTTGCCGGCTGGATGGCTGGATGGGCAGCAGGAGTCATGGCTGCCTGGAAGGCAATGGTGTGGCTTTTGCCTACAGGGAAACAACAGGGGAGAGTTGTCCCACTGTATGCAAAGGTGGGGCGACTACAATCCTATAGAGAAGATGCAGGGGCTTGGCCGGAAGTTAAGGGAACAACATGTTCTCTGGCAGTTGTAGGCTGGCAGGGAGGTGGTCAGTTGTGCTGGGGAGGGGTTGGAATGACGGCGGGCTGTAGGACAGCATGTCGAAATCAGGACAAAGAAGATAAACACAATCTCGAATAGGGTTACAGCTGAAGCATGTTTCACGTTGTCAGATACTACCCTCGAGAGTAAAAATATTCAGAAAAAACTAAATTCAGTCATCTCCTACTAATAAGAAACTTGACCCAATTTAGGAAGCATTTAAATTAAGAAAAGATAATAAAAATAAGATCAAGAAATCAGATTTTTAAAAAAAAATTAAATTAAGGAAAAAGAATGAAGTCAAGATTTAGGCTTTTAGAAAAGGATTTAAATTAGGAAAGGGTCTTGGAAAGAAAATAGATAGAGCAAGAAAGGAAAGAAAAAGGAAGGGAGAAAAATGAAAGAAAATATGAGGAAAGAGGGGACGGTTGGGCCCCCTCCAAGAAGACCGACCAGTCCAACTGAGCTGGACCAGCGCCTAGCCTGTCCCCCATGCACCCCACATCAACTTTATTACTCATTTAATACACTACTTCATAGAATGATCCGCTACTTCCTTATGTTAATTATTACTCGGCATAGTGCTTAGTTACTCCACACAGTTGGTCGTTACTCCGCAATGTTGGTCGTGGTTCAAAAAGATGCTTCGTTACCCTGCAATGTACGCCGAGATTTCCCAAGCGGTTTACTCGCAACAAGGGGGTGGACGACGGTGGTCAACAAACAGTAGTCAGCAGTGGTCAACAGTGGTCCATGATGACAGTAGTGAAAAGTGTTTGTTTGATCTTCAAAGCAAAACATTGGACTTCAACTCATTTTCTCGATCCTTCTCTAAGCTTAGGTCTTATTCCTCTTACATGAAGAGGGTAGAGACTTCTTTATAAAGGCTTGGAGAGGTTTCTCGACAAAAAAATAAATAATCCAGACCACTCCATCAGACAATCCAGAGATCTCCTTAGTCAGACGACGTTCTACGAACATTTGAGTGCCTTAATGGTGTCTGAGTTGAGTGATTTTGGGCTCATTGGATTCATCTCATCAATATGTTCGATTTGACTATAAGCTCATCATATATGGAATTTGTTTGACTTTCCAATTGGGCATTAGTAACTTTCAAAAATGGTTTAACTGCTTGATCTATGTTTGATTTGATTCAGATTAGACCAACTCTAGAGTCATTGTATTCATTTCATTGAGTCGGTCAGTTTGACTAAAATTTTATTGAAATAAGAGTTCTGAATCATTTTTAATCGAAGTTTGAATATTCTTTGTTCAAAAAATTACTCTGAGATTCATGTCACGCATTGAAATTCTCGTCGAATGATGAAAAATTGTTGATTGAGTGTAAATGTTAAAACAAAATTATTCAAAATGCTTAATAAGCGATTTCCATTAAGCCAAGGATCATGAAATAAAGATGACATGTTGCCATTATTCTTTTTAAGGTAAGCTAACGACAGTTCTTCATAATAATAGATCCTGATTTCTAAAAGAATGTTGTCTTGTTGTTGAGTTTTGTTCAAAGAGTATCATTTTTTGTAAAACACTAGGATGCAAAACATGAGTTTAAATTACACATTTTTAAAATCAATTTGGCTTTTCTCATGATATGTGAAATATTAAGAGAGGGGAAATCCAAAACATAATGTTAAGTTCACTTATTATATGCTCCATCTCTTAAAATATGCAATGTTATTCATACATTTTCTTTTTTATGCAGCTAATGTCATAAATAATTTATTAAGGCTTGGTTTAATTGAATTACTATTAGGACATGATAGTAGTAAAAAAAGCTATAATTCATATATTTTTTTAGGGAAATTTACACACGCATCACATAATTCTTATGTATTTACATGTCTCACATCTAAAATTTCATATTTACATGCCTATTACTTTGGTGTTTTAAATTTTTGCATGAAATGATGAATTTTATATTTTAAAAAGTTATAAGAATGCTATTTTGTATGTGATATTAAAGATTTGAGTGTTATATGTATAAATATCAAATTTTAGGCGTGAGATATGTAAATATATAAGAATTGTGTGATATATTTACATGGAACTTAAGTGAGAGAGGACTATTATTATTGGGGAATTGACACACATACCCCCCGATTCTTATGTATTTACATATCTAACGCCCAAATTTTAATTTTCATATTTATGCTGCTCAAATCTCTTATATCACATAAAAAATACTACTATTTTAACTTTTAAGAACTGAAATACAAATTCTCATGCATAAATAAGAAGACATGTAAATAAAAATTAAACTTTAGATGTAAAATGCGTGAATACATAAGAATTGAGTGTTATGCATGTAAGGGCCCGTTTGGGGTAGCTTATAAGTGCGGGGCGTTTTGCGTGTTTTTTAAAACGCTGTCTAACGCATGATGCGACTCGACCCCCCTGCGGTCGGCCCACGGGTTTACTCGCGAGCCGTATTTCAGGATAAGCTGTTTATCTTGAAACGCACAAACTGCCCCAAACAAACCCTGAATCTTCCATATTTAAACAAATAGCCATATTTTCCAAGAACAATGCATGCTAAATTTTGGCACCTGGACAGGAAAGTAGGAAAGATTCATCCAAACAACGAAGAAACAGAGAAGAGAATAGAAGGAAGAAATCTATAGGAACCCCAAAACCAACCGCCACAAATGAATAAAACGTTAATTTATGAATATCCATATATAAACAGCATAATAAAGTAATAAATTAAAAAAATCTTCATAAAAATAATGTATAACAACAATAACTATTATAAATTTCTACTAAATCAAAATATTTTAATATTTAAATGATAATAAAGAGGAAGATTTACATGCATGCCGCTCAATTCATGCGTGCGTGAACACCTCATCAGGATCAATGGTCAACCTATTGGCTAGAACAACTGATTGACAAAGCCGAGTGGATCGATCGAGTTAACCCTGCTAACCCGAAGACCATTGAATACTGACCGACAACCTTGATTCGTCATAGTCAAACGAGCAGGCCTTACTGAACCAAGGCCCAACGAGCTCTGCTGACCGAATTAGACGATAGGTAGCTGAGTCGTAGGTCCATACATTTAAAATACATAAAATATCTTGTAACATCCCATCAAAACATGGGCAAACATATAACTTCATATATTATTCGTCTCCATTGAAAATTATAATTCATCTACTATAAATAGAGAAATATTTGGTGAGGAAAGGGTTAATGAAAAATATGTTTTACTGTTCATTAGTATACAAAACTCTCTCTAGGTCTCTCTCACTCTTCTGTCGCAGGCTTAACCCTTAAGATTTGATTCACGGGCATATCAAAATTCAACAATAGTTTATTTTGCTCTCTAATTAGACAAAAATATTTTACTGTGTGATAATTATAAAATATTAACTTATAACTTATAAGATAGGAGATAAAATATTCTTATATGAATATATCTAGATATTAAGTAAAAATATTTTTATAAGATAGGTTCATACTATTAAGCAAAAATATTTTTATATATTTAGATATAATTTAGAAAATAAAAATAATGTAAAAAAATATAAAAAATTAATTGTCCATGTAAATTCAAATTCATTTACACATATTACATTAAATTTTTATTTATTTACATATTTAATATTAATATGTTTATATTTATTTATATAGAATTTAAATCTCTAACTGGTTTTAAAAAGGTTATTATTATTAATTATATATA